TTAATATCGTGTAGTTAAAACAATTTGTTCAGTTTGTAAGGGCAGCAACAGCTGCTCGTCCTTTCCAAGAAACGACAAGGGTGCCAGAATTCACAGGGGCTTTTTAAAAATTCCAGAACGGGAGAGATGTTCAGAGTCTTATTCTTGGCTTTGCTTTGCAATTGCTCTGCTTCGAAAATTACGTATAAATATCCATTTCAGAATGCCGCGTATCCTAAGTTATCATATACCGAGCCACAAATACAAGAATACTACCTAATACAAGAGTAAAAAGAAGCATAACCCCTCACATTTCAACGTTTGATGCTTTCTATACAGAGCGATATATATATATATCGGGATTACAAATCGGACATCCTTAAATTGAACTGTATGCAGCACATAAAATGAAATTCATGGAATACACATTTCACAATATAGGTAAACCACATCCATTTCACACATTTTATCTGAAAACGTTAGCTTTAACTAGCTCGTACGTTTATCGAGGTGCTATAAAGTAAAATACGTCTACACCTTTTCCTAAATTGTACTCAACTGACTCGTTTTAAAAACAATATAACTACTATGACCAGTACCGTAAAGTTAACCGAGAAATCAATTACTGGGTGAACAACTAATTTAAACTGTTAATACCAATATAATCCTTATGATTGCAAACTAGAAACCATAAAACAGCCCTGCTCTTTTATAAGAGCTATTAATCAACTTTAAAAAACCCGTTTAAACTTACATTAAAAACCAAAGACACCAGACACCAAACACCAACCCCCGGACCTCACGGTTCGAGCAGCGTTTTAAAAACAGGAAACAATGCGAACGTGCATTGCACATGCTTAGCTGTCGCAATGCCTTATAGGGTCTGTAGTGTTTTAGAAGGGACAGGTATTGGGCATACTCTCAACTCAACTACACTACCCAGAATGCCTACAGTTCAGTCAGCTGAGTTTGATACCTGGCTGTATAGACAGTCCAAGAGATGAGAAAGAATTCGTGAGTCTCACCTGACTGAAGAGAAATGTGATTATTTCGTGCACAATAATGTATTCACATCTATGTTTAATTCAGAATATAAATGATTTAGTTTTTACTGTTTTTAAATGAAGAGGGGTATTGTCATTGTCATGTTTGTCATTGTTCGTTTTTATGTTTATATATGTCCTAT